TCAGCAGCATCTCTGAGATGAGAAAGGTTATTTCCAAGAGTCTGTCCAGCATATCTTGAGGGCTTCTCCTTCCCGTACAATAGTGAGCGGGAGGGAGGAGGGCGCCTGCGCAGGCACCGCGGCCGCGGCCTCTCTCTCAATTACGCGGGAGCCCCGTCTCCTGGCAAGGGAATAGCAATTCCCCCTGCAAAGGAGGGCTTGGAGGTTGGCTAGAGAAAGAGGAGAAAGTAATTACGGCTTAACTGTGCGAGCGGCTCCTCCGGGGAGCCCCTGGCCGAGGCTCCGCGCCCGGGCGGGCGGGCGCCCGCGCCGCTGCACGTGAGCGGGAGCCCAATTTGCTGCGTGGGGATGGAGAGCTCAGGGAGGTGGAGAAGAGGGCACCAGGATTTGGGGGAAAGGAGGGTGCTGGGAGGTGTGCTTGATGCTGGTCTGAAATGTGGGGGCGTGGAGCTCCTTGCTTTTAAAGGGAGCTCGTGCTCCTGCCACTCACCTGACGAATATTGAGCGCGACATTTCTGCTCAAAGTACACGCGTTTTTCTGTCTCCCTCTGTGTTTGCCTGGCGGGCACACGCTGCGAGCTCGGCCTTGCCACCCGCGCTGCGCCCGGGCGCTGGGCTGGCCCCACTGCTGCTGCTCGGCAGAGACACCCGGCCCCAGGGAGCCACGGCCTTGGCGTCTCCCATTTACTGCAACTCACCGAAACGGGAGGAACTGAGAGCCTTGGTGGGCTGTCAGCAGAACAAAGCCAACCCAGGGCAAACATCCCTCTACCTGCCCCTGCCAGCAGCAAAACCCGCAGCGCCGCTCGGCTCCGGCGCCTGCGCTGGCCAATGCAGCCGCCTGCACCAGCCAGGCGGGCCGGAGCAGCCAAGGCTCCTTCTGCCTCATTTCTTGCACGACTTCCACAGCGATTCCCGCAGTAGGTCTAGAGCTGCTGGTTATTACCCACTGCAGGACGGGAGGCAGCGCGTTATTCTGTGATAATTAGGGGTAGTCGGTAGGTGCTGGCTCGGGGGGCAGGCGGGAGCCCCTCGCTGCAGCCGTGCCCGAGCACGTCGCATCCACGCTCATCCGCACGGGAATTCCGCTGCCACCCCGGGAAGGGCAGGGCCCAGGAGCTGCAGTCTCTGGCCTGCAAAGCCTTGGGGATGGGATTCCCCGTGTCCCCAGGGCCACCGTCCTGCCCACAAACAAACATCTTTCCCCCTCCTCAGCCTCTTCTATCTCCATTCCTGCCCAATTCCCTGCAATGAAATTTTCTCATCCACTTTTGCTCAAAAAAGTATCACCTGCCAAACCTGCGAAAGCCTTTCCCTGGGAGGAGGCAATAGTTAATATTGGTTAAAATGGATTTTTTTGAGCATAGAGTATTGCTTTTTTTTTTTTTTTTTTACACCTAAACTGCAAAGTGATGCCTTGAAGATGAGATTAGTTCGTTATTTATAAAAGCAAAATCCCTCCAAATGTATTAAATATGAAAACATAGTATCAGGGTGTAAGATTTGTGAGGATTAGGCTCTGAAGTCTAGACATTTATCTCTGAACGCATTACATTTGCATTCATTATGTATCCTGCTGTACCTCTAAACATGAAAACTGATCTGCAGAACAGATGATCAAAGCAGGGAAATGCAGATCAGAAAACATGCTGTGTTCACTTAGGAGCTAAAAATGTTGTAAAAAAAATAATTGTTTGATATTCCAGTACATGAAACCATTATGTAACCCCCCGCAGAAGCGGTGGGGGAACCTCAGGAGTCTCTCGCATTCGCTCCGGAGACACTTGCTCCTGCTTCTCCCACGCTCCGTATGGGAAGGGCCTCCCCATTCCCGGGTATCCCTGCCTCTGGCACGACTCTGCACGGACCCCCCTGCTCAAGCTTCACTCGCTCTGCCTCCTGCCTGGGAAGTGCCTGACACACGTCTCAGTAGATTTTATCAACTCTATTTATTTCTTTCAGCCCCACTTGTATTCTTGTACGGGTACTGCCTTAATTTGACCAGCCAGGCCATGGCAATTACTTTTAATTTTTTTGCTAGTCAAAGCTGCTCCAGGCTTCTGCCCCGGTTTGGTGCTGGATCACAGCCCCAGACCTCTGGCATTACCACGCTTCCTCTTTTTTGACACAATCACAGCATTCCCCTTATTCCAGAGCTTTGAGCTTTATCCAATGTTTTATGATTTATGAAAAAACAATATTCGTGATCTAGAGACCTCCTTGGCCAGCTCTGGATGGCAAGTTCTCCAAATGTGCAGAATTAAACAGCATTTTTAGAATTAATAATTGCTGTTTAGCATTCCCCTTCACCCTTGCTGGAGCAGAGGTCTATGAGCATCCTGACAGGAAGCGGCTTGGCTGCCGCAGCTTTTGTCTTGAGCACTTCTGCCATTTCTAGCTGTGCAGTGTGAGTCACATTTGGAATTGGTCAACAATTTTGCAGCTAAAACATTAAAAATGGGTGAAATTTATCTAATTCTAAGGAACTTTTCTTCTGCAGTGGGACTCAAGCCAGATCTGCTGGAAACATTCCCAAGTTTCATGAAGCATTCCAGCGAGTTTGGAGTCACTTTAGGATGATTTATATGTTTGGAAAGAAACCAGGCTCCCAGGCTCCCTCTGGCTTTGACCTAGACAAAGCTCTTTTGGTTGATTTATACCATGATTTATACCACGCATTTTTTGCATAACTTCAAATAGGAATAAAATTTCAGTCCACAAAAAACACGCTAAGTGAGACTGACAGACTGGTCTGTAGAAATCCCTTCTGTATTATTAATCTGCCTTATCTCTTCAGCACGCTCATTTCCTAGCCCAAAGGCATCCAAATCCCAGATCAGAGGGTCCCATTGTTTTCCATGGCTTCCTATTCTTACAAAGGAAAGCTAATTAGGTTGAAAGTATAAGCAAGTATTTAGTATGACAACAGAACCGTTGAAACACTGTCAAAGCTTGTGCTAACTGGTCCAAAACTCTTATGCTGCTAACATAAAACTCCCTTTCTTAATAGAAATTTTAAGTGACAAATCCATGGAATGAATCTGGTATTCATTATTTGCGAGAGAGAAGAGAGGGGATTTAAATGAAGCATGTATTCTGCAAGGAGCCTCAGGAAATCATTTAACAGCTCAAGGGAGAGGGGAGCTGCATTATCATTAGAATTTACATGATACATTAGCCAGGAGTGGAAATGTTAATCTTTCTATCCAAAATCTATTTGCAAAATTAGTGGAATACAGTTGATTTAATGCCCTTTCCTTATCGTCAAAAGTGTAAATCCTTTTGCCTCCGCTGGGATCTAAAGATGCTGGAGAAATTAATTTTGTGAACTGTTGTCCGCTTCCCAGGACACTGTGATGACTAAGGCTCCGAAGTCAAAAGAGCTAAAAGTTATCAATGGGAAAACTCTGGGGAATTATTCCCCTTGAAGGACCGTTCCCAATGGATGTGTGAGATAAGCAGCTAGTTGGGTTTAGCCTGCTCGCTCTTCCATAGGATCCTGCTATGTGAGTGCAGAAAGGTCCGTGGTTTAACCCTTTCCCTCTGCCTGAAAGTAGCATGAAATCTAGGAACAAATAAAGCAAGAACTTCCTGGGGCATCAGTCAAGCAGCTTGTGCGCAGACAGAGACAACCTTTCTTTGGACCCATGTTCCAGACTTAAATGGTAAATGAGCAGAAGTATTTTCTCTCAGTTGCCACATCAAAAACTTCCAAAAGGAAAACAGCGGGTCCCATGCAGCAGCCTAAGCGTGTGCAAGTTCTTGTGAAACGCAGCGGAGCCAAATCGCTCCGATGCTCAGGGCGCACTTCAATACCTTACTGGCCTGCAGCCCAGCTGCTGAGATTCCTCATGCTCAAAAATCTCCCTGTAAATTTCCACTTAGTGGCAGAAATGGGAAATACCTCCCTTCTCCGCGCCCGCCGCAGTTCCTCCCGGAGCAGCGAGGCAGGACGGCGCTGCAGGCGGTTGGGCACGGCCGGGAGCCATCCTGGAGCTCTCCCGGGGTGACTCGTCCTGGTGACAATGATATCGGAATAACCGGACACCTGGAGCTGGAACAGAGAGGAGTCAGAGCGTGTGGCTAAGGGAGCCCGTCACGGTGCAGCGCGTGGGCAGGACGCGGTGCCAGGGCGCTCTGCGGGCAGCCGCCGTCCCCGTCCTGGCACACGGGGAGACAAGAGGCGCTCAGCAGAGGATGCTCAGAACTGCTTCTCCTCTATAGTGAACCATTGCCCCGAACCTCTTTATTCATTTTCACAAAGGCTGAAAGCTATTTTCTGGCACCAGATCCCCCAGATTTCCAGTTAATAAGCAGGCTTTGTGCTGTTGACCTTACACATGCTGGCACAGCCAGATTTTCCAGCAGAAATGAGAGGCCAGCCGCCAGCTCGTATCGCATTTTAAAGCACTGCAGCTTGGAGAGGAAAGGGAAATTATACAGCAGCACTGCGGTCACTGCGCACTGACTGGCACCCTCGGCGGAGAGCTGTGGCACTGGTACAGAGTGTGGAAATTACTTTTGGATGCTCTGTCAAGCACAAGATATAAATTGCACAATGTTTTTAAATGTTTTGGAGAGATTGCCTTCTGAGTGGCACCCTCCATTTCGGTATGTCCACTAAGGTGTAGAGAATTCATTTGCATTTTTCATTTTTATCAGTGTCTTTTAGCCAGCCTGGACCAGGAGAGTGAATCCAGCTGTGTGGATAGTGCCAGGAACGGCTCAGCCTCCATCTGCTCTGAGATACAAATTTGATTTCTTCTCATCTTTATTTTCATGTCAAAAATGTCTCCTCTTTTTCAATATCTCTTTTTCTTTCTCTTTTATCCTTGGTGTAAATTGGATACCATCAAACGAAATGAAATGGAAGGCAATGGTGTGCCTGAAGCTATTCACTGCATGGGAACTAAATACACCTCCTAATAAGACATCCCCTATTTATTTTTAGCAGCACAGCATTCATATCTTTCCTGTTATTGTTGAATACTCGGATGTTGCTGCTGCTAAACACTTTGACTTTCTTCCCTTTGCTTAATTATGTGCCAATGAGTGTAGAACAAGGCAGTTGCTATCAGTTGCTTGCTGGATAAATATTGAGTGCAATAAAATTGCAGACATTACTAAATAAATGGGCATCTCCAAACTTGAAGGTTTTTAGCTCTCATGTGCCAGCTGTGCTTTTGTGGAGCAGGGGAGGCAGCTCATGGCCAATTAGGACATTTTCAGTTTAGATAACCCCTCACGGGGCTTAGACAAGGGGATGATGATTTTGGGCATAATAACAAGAAAACCCGTTTTTGGTAGCCAGTTGTCTTGTTTACAGCTTGTTCACATATTTCTACGCTGTGCAGGCAGGAAGGTGGATGTATCCTAGCTAACCGGAGCTGCCCTCCGTTATGGGCTGTAAATAAATTACAGGGTCCAAGAGGCATCACTGGCCTCCTCCACCGTACGGCTGAGCTGACAAGCTGTGGAGCATCAGCAAATCTCAGTCTTCCTCCTGCCTGTGGGGTTTTTTTTCTTTTTTTCCTCCTTTGTCTTTACTCTTTGTTGTTGTTTTAACATAGCTGAAAATATACTGCCTGCTTCTAATGAATAGCATGCAAAACATACGCTTCCAAGACTCTTGGGTCTTGCTGCGTAGTCTGCTGCTCCCCACATACTGCTGGGATATATTTGCCAGCATTTCAATTAGATCATCAATAACCTAGTGCAGCTGCTGAGAGAAGAACTCAGATGTTCATAAATGTTATAGTCCATTAAGTTCAGATACTTCAAAGGCAGTTTGGAAAGAAAGTCATTTGTTAGGCTGAGTGTCAGTATAGCTGAATGCAAATCATACTGGATGCCAAAGCAAGGGATTAAAAAAAATGGAGTTTAAAGGTCAAAGTAACCTAATTTGACCACTTCTGAATGCATCTCTGTGACTTTTAAATGTTGCAGTCACTTGCCCCATTCCTCCATGGGGCTGCAAGCCCTGCCATGAGGGATGCTCAGAGCGCTGCCCGCAGCGGAGCTGGGACGTCTCGGGAGTTGCTCTGTGTGTGTGTACATGTGTGTGTGTACATGTGTGTGTGTGTACTGTATGTGTGTACATGTATGTGTGTGTACATGTGTGTGTACATGTATGTGTGTACATGTATGTGTGTGTACATGTATGTGTGTACATTGTGTGTGTACATGTATGTGTGTACATGTATGTGTGTGTACATGTATGTGTGTACATGTGTGTGTGTGTACATGTATGTGTACGTACATGTATGTGTGTGTGCATGTAGGTGTGTGTGTTTTCCAAAACGCTTGTGACATTTCCTATCTGTGCTTTGAAAAACAGGTGAGTGCTTAGAAGTACAGCAAATATTTAAGTAACCAATTAACACGATGGAAGATTTACCCATTTTAAAATGATTTCCTTTCGGGGCAGGCAGAGCACTAAAATGTGTTTTGTGTAATGTTTTCCTCCCCAGGGAGGGTGATATTTGCAGGAGGGAGAGGCGACAGGATTTGTGGTGCTTTGGAAAGAAACAGGAACGCAAACATCAGGACGAATTAACAGCTGACGGGAAACGTGGCGAGCTCACCTTGGAGGACGGATGGCATGACAGCGCCGGAGAGAGAAACACTAAATCACCCTGGAAGTGCCAGGCTGCAGCCGAGCTCCACCAGGAGCAGGAATCTGGGCAAGGCATCTGCTTGCAGCAAGGGGGGCTGAACCCGAGGCGCGGAGCAGGCCGGCACCAGCCAGGGGTGGCAGGATGATGGATGTTGCCCCCAAAATAGAGGCAGGGCTTCCACCCACTGGCCCGTGCTCTCGTGGGCTGGAAGGACTTTTTTCCCCGAAGGTGGATGTGTTAGGAGGCCCAGCAAATGCTTTCCCCACCTGGCAAGGGCAGGAGCGTGCAGCTAAGCAGCCAGACCTCTCCTCTCTGCATCTCCTTCATGGTGATGCACATATGGCTGGGCACGGGCCCTCCAGCTTCCCCTGCTGACTGCCATCCCCCTGCTCGTGCTCACAGGCTCAGGATTTGGCCTCCCTAAAGCATTTTGGTGGCAATTGCAGTAGAATTTTTCTTGTTGTCATTTAACAGCAAGTTTTGCAGCAAGTTCTTGCTGTTTCATAAAGGCCAGGATATTTGTGGCTGGTGAGGCAGATGCTGGAAATGTTGTCGCCTTTGACCTCAAATGTGATAGCTTTAAAAGTTCTTTTAAAGAAGGGCAATGTTTCTCCAAACACGAATTCAGCCTTGTCCCCACCTTTCTTACCTTGGCGAGGGAAGCAATAAGCTGCAACCCAAGTTCATCCTTGTCCCTCTACCACAGCTGGGAGCCAGGAATGAAAAGCAGAGGATGGAGCAATGGTTCTCCTGGAAAACAGCTACCTCCCCCAGAGCAGCTCCTTGCAGGCAGCAAGAAAGCAGGTCCAAGTCCCTCCTGGAAAGGGATTATCCACATTCCCGCTTTATCGTTGTCACAGGCAATACGATGGCACATCTGTCTGTGAGTAATCAGGAGAGAGGAGGGGGCGAGGAGGGAGCTTGGAAATGACTCATTAGCGGAATATTAATGAAGATCTCGGCTGTTCAGCGGGGGCAGCGTCGGGCTGCAGCGATCTCCCCGTCACTGCTGCGCCCCGTCCCGCTGGCCTCCTCACAGG